TTTCCCTGGGAAGGGAACAGGTTTCCCTACTGAAACAAATCATGCAACTTGGAGGCAGTTCCTCAGAATCGGCTAAAATCTAAAATACTGTGTCTGTCCCAGTGTTCCTGTGTTTCCCTTTGTTGCAGACACACATACACTTCCCCCCCCCCCGGGGAAAAAATAAAGACCGCAGATATTTCAACATTGGTAGGGACTACATAAAAATGGCTGGGTAAACTTCAGCCCTAGCGTGAGTCAGTGCAGTTCCTTTGACTTTAAACTGGCACCAGTATCTACTTCACACTGGGGCCAGATTTCCCGTGTCCTGGGCAGAGTGCTGTTTGTGGACCTTGGTTGGAGACCTCACTGCATTGGGCTCTGCACAAATACACATTAAATTCTTCTCTATATCGCAGAGCCTTTCTAAATGACTTCAAATGGCCTTGGGGGCTGGTATAGATGACACTAGCAGTCAGATCCCTTTCTGGGACTAATATTTAGAAGTCTGAACTAAAGTGATCCTGGAAATTGTTCCAACCCAAGGAAGTCCTGTCCACCTTTTAAAATAAGTTATTTTGGAGCAGGGGAAAGTCTAAGGTAGACAAGGCCTTTGACTAGTGAGGTCTCTGGAGCTCTTAGAAGCTATCAAATCAGTCTAAATACTGACTCTGCTTGTTCAGGCTGTATGCTGAAGTTCAAGAAGTAAGGTGTGTTAAGCTTTTAATGGTTTGCTTTTAATCTATCCAGCTTATTTTCCCTCCAGCACTTCATCCAACCACTCTAGATTCTTCTCCTTTTGTTTAAAAGTACTACAGGTTTTGCAAATGGTTAGTCCTTTTAAATCCTAAGCTAAAATAGGCAGGAAAGGACACCTGCTCTCCCCAGCTTTTCAAACAGGAGCACAGGCTTTACAGAGGAGTTTCATAAACTCCTTAAAATACCAATTTCAGTCCTCTCTCCTCTAATTGAGTTACGTGGGCAGAGCCTGGTAGGCTCAGAGAGTCTGGCTGTCTTCATTATAAGTCATTTGATAGATGAGTACCTGCACTTGCGGGCAGTCCTGCTCATAAGTTCAGTGAGCTTGATCTTAAAACCAGATAGGGTTCTTGACCCTACTCCTGCCAAAGGCAGGCAGTTGCAGAGCCTCACTGCTCTGATAGCAAGCAATCTTCCTATAATTTCCAGCCTAAATTTAGTAATGGGATTTGGATACTCATTTCTTTTTGTCCCCATTTAGTTCTTTAAAATGAACTAGCTTTTTCTATGGTGTATGCAAGGCAACAATCTTCTCCCCTCTTGTCTCTTTCTTGTTCAATGAAACAATCCAGGCTCTTTCACCCTTGTAGCTCTTCTCTGCAACTCTTACTAAGGCTCTGCTTGAATTTCAGGCTCAGGGCAGTAACAGGCAAATACCAAAATCACCTTTAAACACAGCAGGTGCAGATCAAAGGAGCTAGAGAGAATAGGACTGGAGGGCTCTTGAAAAAACTCTTTCTCTGTTTCATCTCATTTAAATAAGTATTTCCTTTTTTTGTTTACTAAGAATACCGTGGTTTTTGAAAAAAAAAGCCCCGCACTGTTTTGGTAAGTGCACTGCTAATTCTCGTGGGGCAATATCATGCCATGGAAACTAGCAATTATTCCTGTCTCTGCCATTTGTTATTCTGAATGGAATAATTTAACTTAAGAAATTTATTCTAAGGACCCTTGCATAGTCTGACGCATGTTTAAAATGCTTTTTAAGACTTGCCAACAGTGTGGCTAGACCGTTAATGGCTTGTGCTACTTAACATAGAGACTCCTGTGGGTGTTAGCGTGTGTGGTAAATAATACAGAAGGTGGAGAAGTTTTTGAAACGGGGCCAAGCCACGGAGGGTAAAGCTTTGAGCATCTTTACTCATAACTCTGATAAGGGGGTCTGACAAAAGTAAAACTGTTTTGTTTGCAATCAATGCCTGAAATTTGCCAAGGGCCCCATCATCCAACCTCTTACGTCGTCAGAACTAGGGTTGACAAGTTGGTCAATTGACTGATCAATTGACTGCATATTTTTGACCAGTCAAAAATATGGCAATTTTACCAAAAATTAAAAAAAAAAAATGTAGTTTTTTTTTTTTCTTGACAGAAATATAATTTTTTTTAATTGCTTATTGACACATTTAATGGAAGATCTGGGCTTTTTCTGTGTTGTTTGGACCTACTGGCAATTAAAAAAAAGTACTGGTATTTGATAGGCCAATTGACCAAACTTTATTTGACCAGTCAAATACTCAACCCTAGTCAAAACCCAAGTGAAAATGTAGATCCTTGAGCCTGTTTTCTATTTCCCTCCTGATAGAATGAGGGAAGGGAGAAATACATGTTGTTCATCTTCTCCCACAGTGAGCAAGTGTCACTAACCTTTCCCTGCCCAGTCATGAGCCTGCGTGTTGGCTTTTTCCGTTAGATCTTTTGCAAAAGAGTGGTTTGCGTCTCTCAATACTTTTGCACATGGGTCTAACGCAGCATAAGCGGATGAGCCATCACGGGCCATGCTTGGCTTCTCATGGTCACGCTTCTGCTAGCTTGGCTGATGTCTGCCTGTGCCTGGAAGGTTATGCTTTTGTTGTTGCCTAGTGGGGAACCTGATCAGGGCTGCATGCAGGTTTGTGAGTTTTCATTGTTTGCTGTTTCGGGGTTAAGTGTGGGTGGGTTGGTTTTTATTTTTCTGTCTTGGTTGTGGAATATTTGCTGTTGTGTTTTTGCACTCGTGGTTAATGACACAAACTAGGTGCTCCAAAGCTCTAGGGATGAAATCCCTTAGAGGATGCAGAACCTGTTTTTGTCTATGCGTAATTTTCAACACTACCAAACTGTGAAATTTCAGGGATTTGGGAAGGATGGCTTGTGAAACATTGCTCCTCTCTACCCTTTGCTGTGCTGGAGTTACTGAGTTTGAATTTAAGCCAGCAACACAGCATCTAATGACAGCAAAAGGGCTCATTTGGATTGACATTGCCCACTTGTAAACTTGCTAAACATATAGGGATGCCTTTAAAATAAGGGTTTGATGCTGCAACCTTAGATGCAATCCTACTGAAAACTCCCATTGGCAACCTGAAGTTTTGGCTTTGTAAATAATTGCTTTGTATGCACTGTGCACCTTGAAGCATTTTTAAGCACTTGTTTGGCTAAGTCATTAATCAAATGCAGCTGCTTCTGGGGTGCCCCAGCAAAGGAATAGGCTAGAGATGATAGAGCACAGACAGAAGTGGAATTGAACACAATGAAGGGGAGGCAGGGGGGTGCAGATGTGGGGTGTACAGAGAGAAAAATCCTCAGGCCTTAGGCAAGGGCATAGAATGCAGTTACCCGCTTGCAGCATAGGTTTCCTTCCACTGCCACGCATGTGTGTGCTGTGCACCTCAGTGTGACGTGCTGGGCTGCAGCTTCCCTTGGCATGTGGCTGGAGAAGGGGATGCAATGCTAGGACAAGAGGATTGCTCTGGCTATATGAAGGGTGTTCTCTTCTGCAGTGCTTCTTGGATATGACCCTGTTACTACCTGAAAGACCTGTCCTTCAGAGACCATCCTGCCCCGATTCTTGCTGGGAATACTGGTGTAGATGAAGGCCTCTCCCTGCTTTTGGAACCTGAATAATTCCCCATGTGCTGCAGACACCACAGGCTGTATCGTATCCCCTCGATCTTTACTTTTAAAAGAACTGAGATGCTTCTAAAGAAACTGCCAGATATCCCATAATGTATGATTAGGCAATAGCTTTCTCATAGGGGAATTTTCTTACAGCCAAGCAGTTGGCTTACTCAGAGTCATGAGGGCTTCTGTCCCATAAGTGGGTGTTGGCTAAGTGCTTCCTGGGAGAGCTAGCAAAAAGTCACCAGCTATAATGCACAACGCCAGGAAGCGTGTGTCAGTGTGGAGGGGAGAGACCAGGTCCTGTCCATACTCTATCTCTAGGAAGAGCCGACAGAGCAGACCAGGGAAGGGACAGGCAATATGGTGGCAGATAGGGCAGGGACCAGAAAAGAGCAGCAAATCGGGAAGGGAGCAGAAAGCAGAGCAGGCAATCGAGAAGGGGAAGGGGGTACCAGTGGCCCTTGGGGAGGGCATGGGGGTAATTTTGTGCACTCCTGCCAAAAACATTGCTTCTGCTGGGTTAAAATGATGTACAAGTTTCCCTCATCAACCATGGTTTTGCTAACCACGCTTTTGAGTATCCACACTTAATATTCTATATACCATTTCAGCTACCACGGTATACAGTTTTGAGTAACCACAGGTTTCTGTGGCCGCGTGTCAGCTCGCCACCTGCCGTTTTTCCCATAAGCCTTTTGTCTTGCCAACCATGGGAACTTTCAGGAACCTAAACCCAGTGTTTGGCAAGGGAAACCTGTACTCAGAAATTGCAGCAGTGGGATTATTGCATTGTTTTCCCCATCCTTCAGCTATGCAAAGTAGGTGGAAAATGCAGCTGGTAGTGAGTGAAGAACTCGGAGTAGTATCTGTTTTGTACAGGTGTTCATGACCATGCAAGGTCTGGGAGAAGGCAGATGCCTCTTTCTCTGGCCCAGCAGAAGAACATGTGGCATTTGCATTTTGAGGAGGAAACCCCAAACAAAAGAAAGACCAGGCTGAATAGCGAGGAATGGGTTTTTTTGGATGAGCTCTGTTAATATAGCAGTCTGCCCTAAGGTGCCTTCTAAAACCAGAGACTGTAGCATTGCTGAGGGCAGTGTCGGAAAGCATTCTGCGCTGGCAGGCAGGAAGGACTAGACCATCTGGTGTTGGGGTCTTTGCCATTCCTGAGTTATGTCATGCTTGGAAATCATGCCTCCCCTTCTGTGACCATCTCTCCTACGTGTGAAGGCAACATAGTTTAGTGGGTGGGAAACTAGGCCGAGTCAGGAAACCTGGCTTCTATTCCTGGCTCTGCCACTGTTTTCTGGTGTAACCTTGGGCAAGTCGCTTGTTTTCTCTTTGCTTCTGTTTCCCCAAAGCAGAATGGGGAGAAGGCAGCCCTTTGAAGTAGGACTCCCTGAGCATGAGGCATCATCCAAACACGGAAGGGCAGCCTCTGCTCTGAGGCAGTCACAATCTCAACACGGAGGTCGTGGAAAGGGGAACAATAATAACTACACTCTGCCCAATATAATTATGATGATCTCTGAAAGAAAGGAGGAAGGATTTATTTGGTCTTTGTGTGATAGGTTTGAGCACTTAAATGCTCCCGGGAGCTGACAGGGCTGTAAGGCACTGAGCGAGTGCATTAATGGTTTTTTCTCCACTGCTTGTGTTTCAGGCTGGGCGTTTGCAGAGCAATGGCTCAAGTGGAACTGCTCTGGGCTGCAGCGTCCTTGATGCTGCTTGGAGCTCTAGTGGGCATGTGCATGAAGTGTCAGCAGTCCGGTAAGGCTTTCCCCATTTCTTTGAGTTACAGGGCAGTCCAAGGCTAGTGTGGGCAACACGTGGGCTGCCTAGCTTGTCTGAAGGCTGCCAGACAGCAACGTGTCTCTCTGCAGTTTGTTGCCCAAGTGACCAATCTACACCATGTCTAATGAGTTTGATGCCTAATTGTTCATTGGGGTGACAATACTGTTCAGTGTAATGGAAGCTTTGTCCCAGTGTGTGATGGTTTTGCTGCTGTGCGGTACCCCTCAGGTCAAGCTTAGGCTGATGTCCTGAAGCTCACATTTTCTTTCTGTTCCTGTTTCGTGTGTGCAGGGAACAGTTTGGCTGTAGCCCTTTTGACTGGAGTCCCATACTCTGCACAGCACGAGGTCCTGCTGTCTGCTTTCTTCTCCGTGCATCTCCGCCATTGCTTTGCTTCTGTGGTTGGATGCAGGGGTGTTGCTGCTTACGTAGGGCACTAACTCGTGGCCTGTATCACACCTCTCCCCCTTTGCCCAGTAGTGCCCTTCTGTGGAGGTACAGTAGGTCTGGGATTTGGAAGGAAGGAAGATGTTGGGACTTGCCTGCACCCTCCATATTCCACCTGCTTCTACAGCCAGGGAGAGCCATGGGAGATAACACAGTCCAGCTGCATGTCGGCTTTGCATCCTCTACCCATCCGTGCTGTGGAACTTCAGCGGGGAGCTGTGGGGACGTCTGCCATAGAAGGGAGCTTTGACAGCACCGCTCCTGCAGACACTGTGTCCTCTGGGGGCACGAGGTTTCAGGAAAAAATCTTGAGGGATTCCAGTGCTGCTGGTAGTGAGGGCCAGCCAGCAATGGGTGGGAGGTGTGGAGGAAAGGCTCCTTTCACTTCTGAAAATGAATGGGTATATGGAAACTGCTCAGCTCCACAAAGAAATAACGTCACAGAGTGCAGCTGATGGATGTAAATCTGAGAGCATGATAAATTCCCCTGCTGACCCACAAACTCAGGGTTGTGCTAAATCTAAGACCAGTCCAATTTGACTGGAGATAAGTTTGACTCAATTGGGGTGGGGGGCTCCTGGTCAGACTTTCTGAATGTGTGGTTTTTAGCTGGGATGTATTTAGTTGCTGTGTTGGTCTGAGACCAAAAGAAATGCAAAACTCTAGATCTCTTGGTTGAGAGGAGGATACCTTGTATTGCACCAACTAAGAAAGTGCAAGCCCCCCCCCCCCCCCCCCCCCCCCCCTTTCCTTTTTCTGCAAGCTTTGAGGCGCACGCATCCTTTCTCAGAATCGGGGAAAATTTTAAAATGGTAAAAATTAAAGATGTTTTTTAGCTGAGCACTGGGACAGCTGTTGGGATCCAGTGTCCTTTCCTGGTCCTGGCTGCAGGTTTGCTTGATGGAGATGGTTCTCAAAATGTTTTCACAACTGGTGCCCTCTGCCTTCTTTGCTGCTTGCCTTTGCCAGTTGTGTGCAGTGTTTGTTCACTCAGGTTTTCTAGATCTTTTTCTTCTCCTTTTGCTGCACTTTAAATCCCAAGTCACCCATTCTGATTCTTTTTTTTTTTTTCTTCTAGCTGCTAAACGGGAAAATAAAGAGCTGCATCAGCAAAGGAGTCGGTAAGTTGCCCTTCACAATCCTTTTAATTTTCTGCTGAAATGCAGCTTCTCCACCCATGACAAAAAAGCAGAAATGTTTCACTGCATCAGGGAAGTATCTCACTTTCGACTTCTGTGGTAATGGGCTGTGCACTGGAGATCTGTGCAACATTGGCTTCATCTTGTCATGCTAACAGCTGTGACCTAGACCTTGGTTGTGCCCCCTGCACTTGTAGTTCCCTCTCATAAGGACAGAACTTTCCTTGTGTTTTCAGGCGTGGAAACCGGCAGACATTTGAGGTGATTCGGACCTACTCAAGTAAGTATGAATTTTACCGTGCTCACTGGGCATGAGAAGGAAATGCAAGGTGCTAAGGCCTGGCAAGACTGCAGCTCTTGCTGGCGTACTAGTTTGTGTAGCTTTTCAACACCACCTCCTACCCTATAGAGAAGTAAAGTCATGGCTTGAATCCTTGCCTGGGGTGCATTTTCTCTTTAAGACCTGACTGACCATCTCAATTTATTGCTCCTTCAAAGGAGAGTTGAGAGACCCAGGGGCCTGACTCTGCTAAAATCCCAGCCCAGATCCTTAGATCATAGAAAATAAGTATTGCAAAAAATAACAGCTTATTGGTTTTTGGCTTCTCTGAACAGAAGCCTGTGCCTGGGAAAATGGCAGTGTGGGTGATGGGACACCCGAACGATGAGCGACTTGCTTGTTTTCACGTTGGTACTGCTTCCTGTTTCAAATCCGGTTACGTGATGACCTTTTTCTTTTTATCCCAAACTCAGCTGCTGTTTTTTTGGGTCAATACTTTGACCCTAGCTGACTTCCTGCCCTTGGGGTAGGGGGTTGGACTCCACCATCTTCCTAGGTCCCTTCCAGCCCTAATATCTATGAAATGAAGTTGCCACAAACCAAATCTGGCTTCTGGGTGCTGTCTTCTTCCTGTCTTCAGTCTGATCTCAGTAATATGATAACAAGAAACACCGGGGCTGCTCCTTGGTCCAGGTCACTCCTTTGGTCCCAGGAATTTTGCTGGGGCTGGGAGAAGCTTCCTCCTCCCCCCGCATCTTATTTTCTTTGTTTTCTTTGCCCTTCCACCCCACCCCACCCATGCCTCCCCTCCCTTGCTTTCTCTTCTCTTTTCTTTTCTCTTCCTCTACCATCACTAGCCCCCATCTTCTGTTCCTCTGCTGCACTTTTATTTCCTCTGGGACAGCTAATCTGAAAAAGGGAGTCCACCTTGTTCTGAAGGGAGTATGATTTGTAAAATGAACTCTGCCGGTTGCAGCTGACCGGGAAAGCCCGAGCCCCTGGCAGAGGTTGACAGTTCTGTGATAATTGGGAATTAAGGGACCATCATCAGTGAGAGGGGGAAGGTTTTAAGGTAATTTGGGCCAGTCGGATACTGCTTATAGACACAAAACCTTAATTATGGTTGTCCTAATGCTCTGGAGTATTGTTTTCTTGATGGCCCACATGGCTGACAAGATGGCAGCTCTCACCAGGGCACAGCGGGCAGCAATGATCTAACCTAGAGATGACCACAACCAGGTCTGTGTTGGACAGATGGGGTCCAGTGGCTTGGCTAGCTGGTACTGGAGGAAGACATGTTTTGTAGCAGCCCAGGAGGAGATGAGGAGGATGCAGGCGTTTGTTGCCTCGGCTCCGCTTCTCCCAACTTTTTTTTTTAACTGCAGAAGAGCACTTTCCAACACTGGCGTCTAGGGACTGCATGGTGAACAGTAACAAACACTGGGGAGAGCTGATGTAAAAGGATTCATGGACACTGTCCCTCTCTCCTTATCCATCGGCCGCCCAGTGCTGTTTTGTTAGCACCACAAATGCATTCCTAGCAAAAGAACTGGGAAGAGATTGTTTAAAGATGCGGAGAAAAACATTTAAAATAGGGCTGCAATAAGGTATCTATAACATCACCTGGCCTTTCTGAAGTACCTTCATCTGAGGGGGGGAGAGTATAGAATAAGCACCAATAAGCCAAATTTATTTTAACATGGTGGAGGAAGCATGACAGATGCAGCCAAACTCCAAGAGAAGTTATTAGGACTTCTAGAAGAACCTAGTTGTTTTATTTTAAGAGCTTATAAGAAAGACCTGATTGTAGCATGACTGTAGGTCAGGCTGAGTGGGAGAAAATAGCTGGTAACTATGGCAGGAATAGCAGCTAGCACATCTATTGAGATTGTAGCATTAGGAAAGTTGTTTGTAGTAGCTCGCCCTGTTCCTTGTAGACGTGAAAGTTTGCTATATTCACTTTGTCCCTTGGCTCACTGTGTACTTTTTAAGAAGGTAACTGAATATGCACAGGAAATCCTTTGTACCTAACTGCTCTGTGCCCTGTTTGGAAGCATGTCTATTGTTGCCTTTACCTTGAACATTCGATTCTATTCTCTATGCCAGTTCCAGTGGCAAGGCTTGAACAAATTAAGTCACCGGACAGTGATCCAGTTATACGGTATGTGACATTATTTTAGCCAAAGTTGGGAACGCTGGGGGGGTCTTTAGGTTTTGGGGTCCAATTTGGAATCTGAGCTCTGTGACTTGGCATATATCTAATTTACTGTTAATCATTTTGTAAGGTTCTTAATCCCTTTTTCTATCTTCCAATTGCTTTTATAGCATTTACTAGCACAAGTGCTCAAATGAAACGCAAGGAAACACAATAGCATTGCAGATGAAAGGCAAATCATGTTAGGAATAAGTTGAGGCTCTTTGAGCACCATTTTATACGGTGAAGCCCGACCAAACTCATATGGGAAACGTATGGTAAAAATATTGCTGCAGTGTATACTAGTATTTCTCCAAATCTTGGGTTTTGTTCCAAACACTTCAACTCCCATGTTGGAGTCCTCGAAATATCTTCTGTTTCAGACCCACAAAAAGGACCATGTCACTTGTAGTTATTCCTCAGACCTATGTTTGAGGACCAGTGAAATATGCAATAGCTGCACTGGTTTCCATCCTTTTGTGAGTTGATTTATATTCCAACACACATGCAGCATGCATAAATACAGACTGGGGAATGACTGGCTAGGCTGCAGTATTGCAGAGGAGGACTGGGAGGTTATAGTAGACGGGTGGTTTTCAAACTTTTCTGAAGTCATAGAACCCTTTCACATCACTACTTCTGCCACAAAACCCCCAACCGCATCCTTATCCTAAAGACTGATGTGGAGCCAGGCAACCTGGCCCCACAATAGCAGCACATTGCCTCCCTGCCCGCTCCACCATTACCCCCATTCTCTTTGCAGAGCCCCGGGGTTTCACAGAGCATGTGTTTGAAAACCACTGCAGTAGCTTATAAGCTGAATATGAGCCAGAGGTGTGTGGTCTTGTTGCAAAAAAACAAAACAAAAAAACCTCCAACAGCATAGTGGATTGTATTAACAGGAGTGTCACTTCCAAATCAAAGGAAGAGAGGGGTTCTTCCACTCTATTCAGTGCTGGTGAGGCCACACCTCATACTGGGTGCATCTACACATTAATTAATGCACCATAGTTATTGCACCTTCAGTTTAGGACTTGGATAACCAAGCACTAAATCAGCACACAGTAATTGATGCTACTGCGCAGTAGCACCAGCACATGGGTTTTTGCAGACGCTAACTGCGTAGTATCCTAATACTGCTGCACAGTAGCATAATAGCATGGGTTTTGCCTGGCATGCTACTGTGCAGTGTTGTTAGGCTACTGCTCAGCTAGCATCTCATGTAGATGTGTCTCGTTTTGGGCTCCACACTTCAAGCATGTGGACAGTTTGGAAAGAGTCCAGCACAACAAAAAATGATATGGGGCCCGGGTGAGACAGCCTTATGAGGAAAGGCTGAAAAAACGAAAGTCATTTAGTTTAGAAGAGGGATGATACTGGGGGTAGGGAGGGAGTTTTATAATGGTCTTCGAATACCTGAAGGGCAATTATAGAGAGGATGGAGATGGGCTTTTCTCTCTGGCTGCAGGGGACAGGACTAGGAGCAATGGCCTCAAGCTGCAGCAGGGGAAATGCAGGTTGGAGATTAGGATGTACTTTCTGACTGAGGGGGTCAGTATTGGAACAGGATACCTAAAGAAACTGGAATCTCTCTTCTTGGAAGTTTTCAAGAGCAGGTTAGACGGACATTAGTCTGGGATGGTTTAGTTGGGGATGACCCTGCTGTGAACAGGGGGCTGGAATAGATGACCTTGTGAGGTTCCAGCCCTACTTTCCTGTGATCCAGCATGAACTGAAATGGGGGGATTACCAGTAAATGACATGTGCAGTCATCGGTTGTGTCCACAATTTGATTTATTTCAGAAGCTCCAAGAAGTTCCTGACCTCGGATCTTGACAGTAAGTATTTGTATAAAAACATCCACTTATTTTAACTGCTCTCAGGTGCAGGAACTGATAATAGCAATAGCAGGAATAGCAGGATAATAGCAGGAACTGATAATAGCAAATCAGTTCCTGATTTGCTATTATCTAATAGCAAATCAGGAACTGGGAATGTTACCAATCTCTGCTTATTTCACTGGCAAAGGGAACGTGTATTGGGGGAAAATCTGTCTGCTGTCAACTCCTATGAAGTTCATTAAAGTTAGGCCTGTGAGGGGATGTTCAATTCTTGTTTCTTGTCAGCCATCCTGATTTCTGAACGTCCTATTTTATGGAAGCTTCTTAGAGCTAAAATCGACTCCTATAACATTACCCATCAGGGTATTTCTGGGACTTGTCCATAGGGAGGACTAATTGGGATGTCTCTGGGGAACAGTGATGCCTTATATTCAAAATGTCCTAGCTGTTGTGTGCTGTGGTTGTAGTTTAATCTACTGCCAAAGTGAATTAACCTAATCCACAAAGACACCTAAGAGTGCTTTTCTGGGGAAGAAGGACAGAATAGGAGGTGTGTTCTGAGCTTTCCCCCCAGGTAGACTAGCACTTAAAATGTTATACAGATAATAAGTATTTGGTTGTTTTGACAGCCCTATGTAAATGCATGGTGTAACCCTGTGTCCTTGAACTTTTAGAGTTGTTTTTTTCTCTCTAGTCTGTCTTGTGACTCTCTGGCTGGGTCCACAGACATGATTCTGACTCTAGTCTTCTCAGTACCCTTTGCCCAGTGTCTGGGAACATGTTGTAAGTTATGGGCTTGATGGCTAGAGAGCATCTACAGCTCACATTGGTTTCAAAGCTGGAGTTTCGGGTGCTCAGGACTTCTGAAAATCAGGCACTCAACGTGATGTTAAGTGGAAACATGCCACTATACAGCCTTCAGCACAGCCAGCTTCCTTCCAGGCACTGCTGAGACATGGTACTCTGTCAGGTCACTGGTGAATAGGGGGTTAACCCCAGTTCAGCTTTCTCCACTTGTCTTAGTTTGGCTGCCCAGGGATATGAGAGTATGTCTGTGAGAGAGGATGGGGAGAATATGCTTTTAGGTCAGGCGGTGGCCTCAAGACTGGATCAAATAGCAATAGTGGGATTTTTCCTCTTTCTGCTTTTTCATTGATTCTTTCTTGCTATAAACACTACCCCATAGCTGGGAGGGAAAGACGTTTAGGAGTGCAACTGCTGGACCATGCTAACAGCTGGAATGCCCCACTTACCCTGGGTAACATCCATGGTGGTACATAGTTCTTCCTAAATCACAGGTCTTTCATCCCTCCTGGAAGAAAGGTCAGTAAACCTGGGTTCTGGTGAGATACCAGAAGGAGGGAGGTTTCACTTGTGGCCCACTGCATAGCTCAGGACTATTTGCAAATCCTCTGGCTGCCCTAGTGGGTAACAGAGACAATCCCCTGGGGTTTTATGTGGTATTTCTAGAGTCCCCACCTCTTTCCCCAGTGATATCTGAGTATCTCAGAAATATTTGCTTTGCATCCCTGGGAAATCTGCTTCTCATTTCACAGAACTGAGGCACTAGGTGACTTGCCCATGCTCGTATGGGAAGTGTGCGGCAAAGTGGGGACTCAACCTCAGCCCTCGGAGTCCAAGACCAATGCCTTAATTGCAGTACTGTCCTCTCTGCATGGGGTGGGATTTAACAAAAACCCTGTAAGAAGCAGTCCTGTCATCACTATTCTAGGCTCTGCCTGTGACTTCTGCCTTTTGGTTTTGTTTTCACCACAATATCACGCTGAGCTGATGGTATCAATGATTCTTTATCGTACCCTTAAATCCACTTCCTAAGAGATGACCTAGATGGCTGTTCCCTTTGGTGTATTTTTGCCAGAGTAACTTCTTGTTCTTCCGTGAATTATTCTGCCTTTCATTTGATACTGACCTGTTGGACACCTGGAGGTCCTCAGTTAATGGATCCAAATCCTTCCATATCTAATTTTGTAGCCCTCCTAGCCACCAGTTACCTGGCTGCAGCTATAATGCCGTGTAAACGTGTGCTCTCTTCTAGGTGGCAGTGCTGAGCCCAAATGCCAAAATTCAATGAAAGGTAAAAAGCTGTACTGCAATGTAAGGCAATTAGGCTAAAAACATGGAGGGTAAAAATCCTAGGGCTGGTAGTGTTTTGTCAGTGCTCATCAGATGATATACCCACCTGTGCAAGGGACTGTTGACCTTTTGTTAAAACAGTGAAATAACTCTGTCCATGACGCACCATACTTTACTCTCGTCCATCTTTAAAGAAAAGACTCTTGACCCCGCCTGTTTATCCAGCTGCCACAGTATCTTGCTTCACCTGCCATCCCAAGGAACATGAAAGGCACGATTGGGAGCTGTTTCCAACCCTGTTCCTGCCCCTCAAGTTTAACCAAAATGGCTTGGCCAAAATCTATAAGGACCTTCTTCTCAGGCAGATCTGAGAACCACAGCTGCCTCTTTGTCTTACTGATGGGTCATCTGTCTCCAGTGCCATTGACTGACTGTCCTCAATGTCCTTGTCTGGTTTCTGCCTCTCTAGGCGCTCTTCCTGCCTCCCTATGAGTCCTTCATTGTCACCTTCTGAGCATCCTTCTTCTCCCTGCCCTGCTGTGGGTGTCCTGCAGGCCATGTCTATGCGATTCCTCTCCCACTGCTAGGATTATCACTGACCAAATAAGCCTTGAACTTGTGCTGTGGTCCAGGTGCAGCAGAGATGAGCAATTAAACAGAACTCCTTGTTCTGTTCGAGAACAGTCCAGCTCCATCCTCTTTTGATCCACCCTTCATGGAGTTGAAGGCTGCTATTAAATCCCCCCTCAGTCTTCTCTTCTCCAGACTAAATAAGCCCAGTTCCCTCAGCCTCTCCTCAGAAGTCATGTCCCCCCAGCCCCCAAACCATTTTTGTTGCCCAATGCTGGACTCTCCCCAATTTGTCTGCATCCTTTCTGTAGTGGAATATTACTCCAGATGTGGCCTCACCAGTGCCAAATAAAGGGGAATAATCACTTCCCTTGACCTGCTGGCAACACTTCTACCAATGCAGCCCAGTATGCCATTAGCCTTCTTCACAAGGGCACACTGTTGGGTCACATTCAGCTTTTTATCCCCTGTAACCTCCAAGTCCTTTGGTCGATCACTGCAGACAACACTACATCCTGCCATCACTCAGGCCTTTCACCTGGGTGTAATCTTCAAATCAGACCTTCCTCTCAGCCTTTGCATCCAGGCTGTGTCTAAATGCTTCAGGTTCTTCCTGTGCAGCATCTCTAGGATGCAGCCTTTCTCATCCGCACAGCTGCTCAGGCTCTCATCACTTCACATCTCACTGCTTCTCAATTGTTGCAACATCCATCTCTCTGCCCTTGACAAATCCTGTTCCACTTGTGTCCTCTACAAGGCTGCTGCAGAAATCGTTTTCCTACCCTGTTACTTGGACCATAGCTCTCTTAACCTTCCTCTCTTGTAAAATCAAATGAGCTACTTATCTTCACTCTCAAGGCTTTTGGTGGTCCTTCCCCATCTTACTCCTCTCATGCAGCATCTAGAGGTCAACTCCTGCCTTCTCTTGGCCTGTGACACCAGTCTTTGTCGCCCACTTGTTACATTTTATGCTAACAATTTCCTTTCTCCTTGCTGCCCCTTGTTTGCAGGAAGCTCCTCCTAAACACACCTATGAAGCCGTGCCACTGTCCTCCTTCAAATCCCTCTTTTAAAATTATGCCTGTGGAAAATTTACCAGTTGGGCTCTCAGTGTGTCATGCTCACTGCTTGTTGGGCTACCAGTACTGTATCACTGTTTTCCATGAACGTCACTGTCTGGCAGTATCCATCTCTCATCTCATAAGCTCTTAGGGTTAGAGAGTGCCTTCGGTTCAGTTACTACAGCACCTATCATAATACAGCATCAATGGCACCAGGATATTGCTTTAGCTACAAGAAGTTTCCCATCTCTAAAACAACAATACGATCCTCCTTTTCTCCCACTTTTTGCCTGTGCTGTCCATTTAAATTGAAATCTAGCTGGTGTCCATAGCACCCAGAGGCTCTGATCTGAGTTGAGGCCTTTAGCTTGTACTATAATACTAATAATTCACAAATAATAAAGAAGGCGTCTCCTATCTGTGGTATTTCCTATGTGACGTGTGATGAAGAGCAATTTTAGTCTTCAGACCTTCAGTAGTGAGGTTACGCAAAGGATGGTTTGCATCTTTAAGGGATGGGGAATTCCTGCTGCCTAGGGCTGATGGGGCAGTGGCATATAGCAGAGCCAACCCTCCCATAGCAAAGCGTGTCAAAATTGTTTAACCCACCTTGATGCAGAAGCAGATCAAATTGTTTCATGTTAAAAGTTATAAGCCTTGACTATATTTTAGGGGCCTTCAGGATAATGCAGGTCATGCGCTGAATTACTCTTTCTGTAAAATAATGTCCTTTTATTCTTTCCCTGAATTCTCCAGGTCCATGCCTGCTCCAGCTGTAGTTTGTAGCAAAACTTGCATTGAGATTACTGATGTAAGAACTGGGCCCGTGTGCCTAAGTTCAAGGGGCAGATGTGGCTGGCTTAATGTTTTGATCCGGTGGCAAGCACTTTTTGACTGGTCTGAGCTGCAGACTCGAGTGATATTTCTGAAGGTTTTGGGGTCAGTTGACTTGTGGCAGAAAGTGCTTAGCAGAGAACAGGTAACACAACAGGGTAGGGGGTGGCAGTGGTGGAGGGGAGACTGATGGACCAAGACGAGGGGATAGGAAGGTGAAGCTTGCAGCTTCTAAACACCTAAAATAAAGGGCAAGGGGGAGGGCAAAAAACATACCCTGAATTTAAAATAAAGAAACCTGAGTAACAAAGCAGACCGCTAGATGCTTGCCTGAGGGGATGCAGCAGCCCACAGACGCACCTCCAGAACCTAACTTGGCTTCTGTCACCAGAGGATTACCAATGGTCCAGGTGTAGCCGCTGTTCCCCGCTGTCTCTATGTGCATAGCATTCATCTGGATCAATCCTACAATTTTATTTTGACTTTGTGCTCTGACAACTTTCCTGGCGGTTGTACTAATGGCAAATACGTTGTGTTTTCAGGAGATAGCCAGGATTGTGAAGCTACCTATGTGTAAGTCGTTCTTTCTCTAATGTACCAGTGCATCCATTGAATCCTTTAGCCCAGTAGTTCTCAACCTTTTTACACTCGAGTCACCCTGGTTAGACTTGAGGCATCCCTTGGAAAATGCCAGCTCTTAGATTTCACTGCTTTTTTGACTACAGAAACACAATATAGCAATTTTTCTGTTGTAAAGACCTCAGAAAGAGTACAACAGGTCAGAATGTTTTTAAGAGTGCAGATGTCTATATGAAGTCTCTGGGGTTATCTAGTGAACCAAGTTTGCCCACCCAACACTGCTAATATTGCATGGCACCCTGTGGCATCCTTGAAAGGATCCCAAGGCACTCTGAGAATCACTGCTTTTGCCTTTAATTTTCCTTTTAAGATGAATTAAACTCTATTAGTTTGGGTTCTGGAGATCACAGCATGGCTGCAGCTTATTATTGAGACTTATGTTTAGCTCTTTTTAATTTCACAGCCTCAATAACACTTCACAATGAATCACAAACCACCCTGAGCCACTATTTCCATCATGATCAGTAACTTTCATTGCAGTTCCCCTCAGCCTGGTGCAACTACTGCTTAGAATAGGAAGAAAAAGTATTTTCCCCAAACGCTTCTGACTTTATGATGTATATAATACGGGAAGGCAGTCGCTCAGCATCAATAGGCATATTCCAAGAAGGCGTTCCAAGCCCACCCTCTGTTGTCACGCAAAGCTCATGTTGATGCGTTTTCTACTGAATCGTGTCCACCTTCTGCGCAGCTCTTACCGAACTGTGAAGCTGCACATTTTTGCAGGTCTTCAGGTCTTTGAAGACTCAACAAAGAAAATAGGCTTGTTTTGTGAATGTTGCTGGCCGAATAGCCAACTGCTTGAACTGTGCGAAATGCACAGGAAACCAAATGCTTTCCTTTTGGTCTCGAAAATGGTTAGATGGCCCCGTTGCTGTAGAGTTGGAGTGCCTGCATACTGCATGAAGCATAATAGTGGACAGTGCTACTTACTGATACAGGTCACGTAGTCATGGTATGGAGACAATTGTTTCCTTAAAAAAGAAGGGGATGGGGGAGTGCAAAGGATGCTTAGAAATCAGTTTGCACTGCGTCTCTAGAAGGCTGGGAATTGACCTACCTAGTCATAGCATTGTAATGCCCAGAGATAAGCAGCAATTAGAGAAGGTCCTGATATATTCAGACCTGGAAAACATACTCAAAGGCCTTTCCTTTGTGATATATGGCCATGGGGCTGCTGAAAAACTGGGGTCACGTGTGAATTAGATGTGTGGGTTTTTGACCCAGCACCATCTAGGTCGGGAAGTACCTAATAGATAGATGCTTTATCTTTTGCAGTGACCCCATAGCTACAGATTACTACAACTGTGGGAAGTACTTAAGACCACCAAATGGTAAGCTTGCAAGACAGAATGGAGTAGCAATTGACTTGATAGACTTGGGGAAGATAAAGCAATCCAAGTGTTACCAGCAAGCCTGCCTTGTGGGATGTAGGGAAACCTGTAAGCAGTTTTTTTCCCCTTCTTTTAGTCTTTTGTTACAATGTGATTTGACAAACTCGGGGCTAACAGGCATGCAATATGCAGCGGGCTCTGGGCATTAAGGAGTTAAAGAGCGTTGTAAACAGGGGGAAACACAAAAGAACAAGAGTGCTACCGAGCAGCAAAACCACTGAAAAGAAGTGACACGGTGTGGGACCATGCTCATGTGATGCTTCCTTTTGTGCAAATAAAGCTAATAAATCAGCTCGAGCCTGGCCTGGCTGCAGGCCCATGGTAAAGTGGCTGCTGAATCCCCATGTACTCCAGAGCCAAAGGCATGATCATTCAGAAGTGGCATCTTCTCTGACGAACAGCAGTAGACTTGAGATCCTGTCTCGGTGGGCTGCATGCATGGTGGATCCCAGCCATGCTGGGGAAGCTGCTGCTTCTGGTCCCACGGTATTACCCAGCCCCTGCCCTGTTGCATTGCCTGATGTGCAGCGGAGTTGCCAGAGGCAGCAGGCTGTCCTAGGAAAAGTATATGAAGCATCACGGATCTTGCATGCAAGTAGCACCCCTTGATGGTAAAGGAACAAGTGAGGCAGCAAGACCAGAAGTTGTGTTGAGAGATGTTAGCTTAATGGGGCTCTGTGTAGAAGCAGGGGCTGGGCTTGAGGATCCCCTTGCAAGACTGTCAGCCCTTTAGGGTAAAGACTGCCTCTCTGCTTGCACCATGGTGAAAACAGTCACTGTAATAATAGTTAGGGTGTCCTATACATGTTCCATTTCCAATTTACTTTTACCAAATTAAATCCTAGGTTGTGGCAGGGGGCGGTGTGGGAGAGTTGAATAAACCATGACAGAAGGATGTATTTAAAACGCTAGAAATGTGAAAAAGGAGTTAACTGGCTATGAGTTGTCTGTCAGCAAAAGGAGGATGTGGTGTGGAGACCTGTAAACTGTTTTTTTTTTTCCTTTTTGACCTATTTAATTATCTAACGTTTATATTGTGGTTTTGCCTCATGGGAATTCAGGGTCTCATTGAACTAGGTCAGCACTTAGTGAACTAGGGAACTGGGAGTCATGACACTGTTTAGAGGTCATAACATTTAAAAGTGGGATTCTGGGTCCACAGGATGTTCAGTTATCACAAATGGGCTCAGGACAGAAGCTGGATTGTGAGCCTGGAAGTGAGGTCAACCCCCCTACCCCCCCAATAAAAAAAAAAATTAGGAGCTGCTAAGCTAGGTGCTGTACATACATATGATAATGGTTTTCCGTCTCCTATGAGTAACTCTGAAGCCTGCTTGCCCTCAAAGGTAGTCTTGCTTTGAAGTAGAAAGGTGAAAAATGTTGTGCGTTTCCTTTTTTGGGAAAATATTGTCTTTGCTATTTTGAGAATTTGAAACTTCCTACAAAAAATCTTTTAATGTTCTCTAGCAAGGCAGAAACTCCACAGACAATGTCCCTCTGAATCTGTCACAATGGTAGTTTGTGCAGTAGCTAGCACTCTGCTAATGCCTCTCGCTCCTGAGCTTGGCAGTCTAGGTTTGGGGAGTCCCTTTTGTGCAAAGATGAGTGGTGCTTCCATGGTGTGTCTAGCACTTCCATTAATTTTATAAGCCTAGTGCCCCACTTTCGGCCATGGGGGAGACTAACAGTTAACTGGAAGGATGGGAAGTGAATGACATCTGTGCTGATGCATATCTGCTGAATCTTTCCAGTTTAGATGCAATGACCACATTAGGCTTCAGCTGCGTTTTCCCCATCTGTAGATGTATGTTTTGCAATAGTGAACTATAGGCCGTAGCTTCTGTGGTTGAACATCCGTATCTTGCAACAAAAATAGCCCTCGAGACCCCAGGCGGGCTGCTCTTAAACGGATCCCACTTCTAAGTATTAATAAATGCTCAGGCTTCAGAGGATGAGCCCTTCTCTCAGCCTTTCATATCTCTGTTGTGGGGTTAGTCTGAAAATAGATGCAGAACACGGGCTGAGGCTATAAAGTCATGGGGAGAATAAGACAGCTGTGAAGGAAAGGAGACTTTCAGCAAACAAGTTGTATTAGTCCCAGTGCATGAAGAGCGGGGACGTATTGTGATCTCTTTGTTAGGCTGGTGTAAATCCATAGAAGTTCCCTGCATTTCTGGGCTGAAATAGGAATTTGGCCTCTGTGTGTGTACCTATTAATTCCCATACAATTTAAGCAGCTGACTACATGAGTAAGAGAGTGGAGTCGGAGGGTCAGCTGAGAGCTGGGACCCTTTGTACTGGGACTGTCCAAGCAGCCTGAGAGGGTCTGTGCCCCGAAAGCTTGCAGCTGAAATAAATGAGGCAAAAAGGTTAGGGGTATGAGTAGAGAGGTGGTTTGCAAGAGTCATTTTAACACTGATTTGGTTCCAGTCTCTGGATGGGATTTGGTTAGAGAGGATTGCTCAATGCCAGGAGAGGGAAGAAAGGAACAGTAACAAGAATGGGGCAGGAGGGAGTGGAGTGGAAAGGGTCGGTGAGATGAGGCTAACTAATGCCTGGTCAAGCAAGGATGCAATTTCCATACCCAGTCACAGTGCCTTTCTCCAGCTGTAGCAGGAGCTTGAAGCTATGTGAGGACAACATATTCCACTCTAGGGGGAAGGCAGATCGTGGCATTGCCTCGCAACCAGTTTTTGAGGAGAGCCCATAAAGAGCTTAGAGAAGGGGCCTTCCGAGTAGGCGGTGCTTTCAGGGAATGGCACTAGGCCTTACAAGCGTAGATCGCTGGATGAAACCAAGCACAAGCTAGTAATGAAGAGACAGGAATGGATCTTTGGTCTCAGCCCATTGCCCTGTGAATCTGTCCTCATCCTGAACAAACCACCACAACTGACATCCCTTACCAGCTTCAGAGGAGCGGCCAAGGAGTGGTCTGGCCCTGCAGAACAAATGGTGCATTGGCTTTGACAGTGCTCCTGCCAGGTTAGGTAAAGCTCAGTTTCTTCCACTGCCTGGACCATCATATAGCTACATCTACAATGGCTGGCCACAGGCCCCTTTGGCTTTGCATAGGCATAACAGCTATACCCCTTTAGCTGTGCTGTTATAGGCAGAGCAGTACAGCCTCCTGTGAACACAGCTGGAATGGTGCAAAAAATGCTTATGCTGGTAGAGCTTATTCCTGTATGAACTGTACCTGGCACGAGGCCCCTGTACACTAGTACAGCTCATAGAGCAGTGGCTTTCAACCTTTTTCATTTGCAGGCCCCTTTGGAAATTTTGAATGGAGATGTTGAACACCTTTGAGTTGGAAGTGTGGGATTCACATACTTTTGACTGATTGTAGTCATCTTCCATGGACCTCTTAGTCTATGGACCCCCAGGGATCCACGGACCACAGTTTGAAAACCATTGCCCTAGAGTGCAATATTGAAAAATCACACCAGTTATAATGATGAAAGTCTGGAGAGCAGCTCAGACCTTCAGCCTGCCCCAAACTCACAGGGAGGAAAAAACCTGAGAAGGGACTGAACTAGAGCCTGGGGATTTCTTCCCCCTCTGGCCTGCAGGTTCTGATTTAACTTGCGGAGGTTCCTGTTTACCAGAAATGGCCTGAATTCACTCTGGCTGGTAGTTTTGTTGCTTAGGCTGTGGTGCAAGATTGGTAACCCTTGTTGATTTCTGCTCCCCTCCAACCCCAGCCACAAGGACAACCTCTTTGTCTCAGGAACAGGGTAAAAGCCCACTCCTGCTCTCATTGAAGCCAACAGCAGTACTTCCCCTGTCTGCAGCGATCCAGGATTTGCCCCTATTTAGCTTGTCAAGGCAAACACTCGGCACAGACTCTGGTTCTAGCACAGTCTTTTCTGCTGACCTTTCCATTTGTTCTTCTAACTACCGCATTTGTTTTACTGTGGTGAATAGACCCTCCCCTGCGGGGCACGGTACAGAAAGGTAAAATCTTGTGTGTGCGATAGTGAACTCTCGCCAACTCGCTGCTCTTCTCTCTCACAGAGAAAGACCAAGATGCGCACGCCTACCAAAATGTGATGGTCGGTGGGGCGTCCCAGAATGCAGAGCCTGGTAGGTGTCCACGGTTTGGGCAACAATAGTGCATGGTGCAGTAGCGTCTAGGGGCATCTTTATATGTGCTCCTGGGGTGGGAGGCACTTTAATTAGGGTGGCTTTTGGGAGTCACACTGATTAAAGCACCTTCAATGTCGCATCTATTCAGAGTCCTGTGCTTCAAAATGGTGGTGGGTGCACTTTAGCTAAAGCTCATCAGACAAGCTTTAGTCAAAGTGCCCCCGCTGCTATTGTGAAGCATGGGGATGCTGAAAACATGAGACGCTGAGGCTGCTGGAGTGTGTTAATTAGAATGTGTCAGCAGACTCAATTAATTAAAACTAATTACAGCATCTCAGAGCAGACGTCCCGCACATCTACAGGCACCCTAGGAGGCCCAATCATGGTGCAGGACCCCCAGGTCTCACTGCTTAAAGGCAAGCTGGCTCAAATTAACTATGGAGACCCAGACCCCCTTATGAGCTCCCTGTGGGCAGCCCCTGGATCCTGTCTGGGACTCAGTAGATACCAGCACGGCATTGCACAGAGTTGAGGGCTGGATTTGGGGTTCGGTAAGGAACAGCAATTCTGCAGAGTAGTTATGAGCTGCTCTCCCAGGATATGCGCATCAGAATTGTTAAGTTGTTTAACTTTAAAATGTGATCCATTTTTTTTTTTTTCCTTGAGTCAATGATTACCTCTGGATCTAGTCGCACATTGATACTGAACGATTACATCAGGTATAATGTCTGCTAGGAAGCAGTGGTATCAACCAGCAGGTCTAACCCCTTTCCTAGCCTCAGAAGAGGTGAAGGGGAGAGAGCAGGCCTGAAAAAAAGGATGAGACGGCTCTCCCCAGGCACAGAGCAGGGCTGCTTCAGACTGAGAAGGGCAAGCCCACATGCGTGACTGGAAACTCGGCCCCAGACATAGCTATGTTGTCAGTCGGGGAAGAGGTGTGTCATTTCAGAAAGGTTTTTAGTCCATCACTTTCTGTTCAAACTCTTTCTACCTACAGATGATGCAGATGACTATGAGAATAGCGCAGCTATACAGATGTGGAAACAATCAGAGATGTCAGGTACATGTTAAGCATTACTTGGCATTTTTAATATTCTGCTTGTGCCCTGTAGCTTTAGTCAGGCTTGAGATCTGCATTGTGCCAGGGGCTCTACAATCCAATGCAGTCATGGTCCCCACTCGTATTTAACAATTTGAAAATTGTATTTCAACTTGCAACAGCTGTGGACTAGCGTCTAATCTTTATACGGCTCTGCTTTTCTGATACTCAAAAGGGCACTGCCATGCTGTTAGGAATAACCAAAATAATAAAAATTATTCCCGTTCATGTTTCCTCTCATCTTCAGTTTTGGATTTCCATGCTGCCTTGCTCCCGAGTCCTAAGACAAGGAAGTGTTTAATGAGCAATAGCTTTCTCTGATATTCTGGTGCTGAACGGTGAAACTCCCTGCAGGTCTAGCAGTAACTGTCCGTGCGCAAGCCTTGTTTGGGCTTAACCTTTAAAACAGAGTTTTAATCTGACATGTGGCTTCCTGTGAAGTGTGTGTGTTGTGGGGTGGGGACACAGCATAGTTTAGGGTGCAAGATGCCCTGCTGAGTGCATGTGTGTGTTTAAAAACTTCTAATATTGACTTTGGTGATAACTGATTCCTGCAATTCTTTGTGCCTGATGTATTCATTCAATGGAGTATAATCTCTTTTTGGTTATGTTATAATCTATCCTAAATGGAACAGATCTAAACTTCTGTTATATGCAAAGACTTTCCCAAGAGCTTTGAAGTTGAAATATGCTATTTTCTGGCCAACACACAAGTGCTGGTAATAACAGCTTTTGTGCTCAGCATCAAAGGTTAAAAAGGCTGGGAGGATGCATTAGGGTGTGTGACGAGATTCTTTGGGTAGATGTGATATCCTTTATTAGACCAGTGGTGGGCAATTATTTTGGGTAGAGGGCTGCTTAAACATGCTTTGGTGAGCTTTCAAGGGCTGCATGGGTAGCCCTGCCCCCTGACAGTTGCCCTGTCCCCTGGTTGCCATCTTGGGACTGGAAGTCCCACCCCTGACCTTTGCTGCTGGAAGTCCCTCCCCTTGCCCCCCAGAAATGCTGCTTTGGGGAGTCGGGATGGGTTGCCATCTTAGAACCAAAAAATCCCTAAATAATGCAGTAAAAATCAAACACCTACTACAACATATTTTAATTTTATTACAAAAGAGATTTTTGTCATGACTTGTGTTTGCATGGTGTATATAGAGGTGATTGCATAATAATTCCAGAAATAAAGTCTTAGTCTTGTATATTGTGCATGTGTATAGTGGGATGTTGGGGGGGAGGTGTCTATGGTGGGGCATGGGGGGTTGAGGTGGTGTGGCTATATGTAGGGGGGAGCATAGGGTATGTTGGGGGTTCTGTATATGTGAGGGATTGTACGAGCAGGGTTTGGGTATGTGGCATTTGTGGGGTGTGAGGGAGCAATGCATGAAAAATGCAAACACAGCAGTACAGTCCAAAGGGAATGGGAGATACTCAGTGTGAAAAGGTAGTTGTGGGGTGGGGAAGTGAGAGAAGGTGATAAAATGTAGCTGGTAAAATGCAGACAGGTTACCTGGAGTTATCAGATGTCAGGCAGATTATAATGTACCATAAATCCAATGTCTATATTTAGTCCATGATTTTTTGTGTCCAGTAGATTTATAAAGTGAAGTTCATAGGCTCGTCTACGAAAGGTGTTTTGTAAATTCCCTTTGAGGATTAGAACTGAGAGATTGGAGAGAGAGTGGTTTTCTTGTGAGAAGTGTGCACTCATAAGTAACTGGGAATTTTTGTCTTTGATAGATTTTCGGTGTGTGTTCATTCTGGTGCGCAGTTGTTGTTTGGCTTCTCCTACATATTTTCCAGCAGGCCTTTCAGTGCGCTGGATGAGATGTATGACATTTCTGGAGGTGCAGATGTAAGATCCAGGGATGCTGATGGTTCTGTTGTGGGCTGTGGTTATTGTGGGAGTGGTGGAGATGTGTTGGCAGGTTTGACACTTTTTGTCCCGGCATGGTCTGAATCCATTTGGTGTGCTTTGGGCCATAGGCAATTTGTTTCTGGTGATGAGGTTGGTGAGGCTTGGTGCTTGTTTAGAGGCTAGGATGGGTGGTTCTAGAAAGATCTCTTAAAGAGCTGGGTTTTCTAGTACAGGCTGCAATTGTTTGAGGATTTTCCGTATAAATTCCAGGGGAGTATGGTATGTCATAACTGGGGATCCTGGTTTTCTCTGATTTAAAAAAATCCCCAATTTTTGCATTAAAGAAGTAACCCAAAATCCACAGTTTTCTGTGATTTAAAACTGGGGATTTTTAAATTTTTTTTTTTTATCAGCAAAAACCAGGATCCCTGGTCTTAACTAATGATAATGCGAATAGTAGGGATTTTATTTTTGTACTGCAGTTCTTCACATGGTATCCGGGTGGCTCTTTCAAAAGTCTGTCTCTCTCTGTACTTGTTGAGTGAAAGCCATTTTGAGATTGGTGAGATGATGATCGCAGGTATTCTCCTCTCTAAATTCAGTGGTATCAGACGGCTTGGCTGTGTGTTACAGCTTTCTCGGCGTGCTTAGGGTGATTGCTGGTTCTGTGTAGATATGTAGCTGGTCCGTGGATTTCTTGTATATGATGGTTTGTATTTTACCATTCTGGATATTGATCAGTGTCTAAAAAGGAAATGTTACCCTTGGAGTATTCAAGAGAGGGTCTGATTGATGGGTGATGGTTATTGAATTCGGGATAAAAATTGGTCAGATTTGCAGGTTTTCAGTCCAAATGATGATGATGTCATCTAGATATCTTAGTTATAGCATGGGTTTGGTGCAGTTCTTGAGGAATTCTTCTTCCAGGTGGGCCATAAAAAGGTTGGCATATTGTGGGAACCTACGAACTTCATTTCATAAATCTACTGGATACAAAAAATCATGGACTAAATATAGACATTGGATTTATGGTACGTTATAATTTGCCTGCCATCTGATAACCCCAGGTAACCTGTCTGCATTTTACCAGCTACATTTTATCACCTTCTCCCACTCTTCCCCCTGCCCCCAACTACCTTTTCGCACGTACTGTCTCCCATTCCCTTTGAACCTTACTGCTGCACATTTGCATTTTCCACAGCCCTGCATTTTGGCTTCTGTTGTGCCCCGGAAAGCACACAGACACCAACAGACTTTTCCTATGCCTGAAGAAGGGTATTTGTGCCCAAAAGCTTGCAAAGAACGTTTTTCACGACTGTTTAGTAGGGCCGTGTGAGACTTCGCCGACCGTTTTGTTCTGACACTGTTTCGACCAATTTTGAGGTGGAAACAGCAAACTTGGAATGAAACAAAGGCCGTTGAAATAGCCTCAAAATAAAATGAGGCTGGTTGAAACGTTTCGAAAGTCAAAACATTTCAACCATAGGCTGGGGGGGGGGAGTCAGTCCAGCTGGGCTGACTCCCCATCCCCAGCAAAACTTGAAACGGTGTCGAAACAGGCTTTCTGTTTCGACGGAACAGAACAGCTGTTTCGACTCTAAATGAAATTCGATACGAAACACTGTTCCATCGAAACTCAAGGCGAAACAGAACAGTGCCGTTTTGCACAGCCCTACTATTTAGCTGGTCTAATAAAAGATATCACATCTACCCAAACAACCTTGTCTGTCTATGTCCTTAGACTGACATGGGTACATCCAACAACCCTGAAGCTAGGGAGGGTGATGTATATTCAGCTCAACACGCTCATTAATCAATACTTTCCATTTCCCCCTATCAAATTCCTGCATTTAGAAAGTGCGGAGGATGATCTCGATGAGCCAGACTACGTTAACACTGGCCCAGGAGCCCTGCCGAGCTAAAGGTAAGAAAGAGATTAAATTGGCAACTGAGGTGTTTCGAGGTAGGGTGCGTGGGTGTTTTGTGGGCTGGAGTGCAAGACCCCCTCCGTTCTCCTGCAGGCTGGCTTTGGACTGGAATGATTTAGCCCAAACCTACATCCCAATAATGCTGTCTCCAGTAAAGAGCCATTGCTTGCACTTTGGTGTGCCAAGAACTGCCCAGTGTGCTCTCCTGGCTGCTATTGGGTTGTTATAATGGTGTCTAAGGACCAGTGTAGCTGTGAGCAGTGCACTCTGTGCCGCGACTGTCCACTTCAGTGTGAGCTCTCCCCTGGCTACCTTTCCGGGACTTCCTGCACCTCAAACAATTGGTGAAGTTGGAAAGGTCAGTGCTGTCCAAAGAGAGGAACATGTGGCTCCAGAGCAGCTGCAAACCCTAGAACTGCAGGGAGGTCCGAGAACAAACTTGCACATGATGCAGAGCAGGAGCTCCCTCTGCCCTGTAGGAGCTGTAGCTTGTTATCTGCAAGGCTGGGAGGTGCAGGGAGCATGAGGAATTCCCTTCTGCTGTTTAAGTCTAGCAGACAAAAGGCTGGGTACAGCACAGACCGGCCAGATTTCTGCAGCAGGTAGCCAGCTGGTATTTGAAGCTGCATGGAGACCTAAGGAAGTTTAGCCCAAGCGTGGAGGCAGTCAAGCATCCTGTGCTAGGTAGGGGGCTGGAGCTGCCCATTGAGGGCAATTTTTCTCCAATGCTTTGTAATTTCTAGTTAAAATTCTGTACAAAGTTAAGCAAAGTGGCCTTAGGATCATGTGGTACCAGGACCCGAAAAGGAATAAGCAGGAACTTTATGCCTAAATCGGACAAGAACTATCCACTGCGTATAGCTGAGGAGTTGATCAAAATGGATTCAGACATCAGTGGATATGTACTGAAAACTGTGTGGGGTTTTTGATGCCCTGTCTGAAAACCTGATATTTTTAGAGGGTATCATAATTCTGAGCTCCCTGTGAACTGTGCTGGGAAAACAGTTTTTCTCAGAAAGGGCTGTCGAAACCAAACATTTTGTGGAAGTGCGTGTGCGCGCGCGTGTGCAAGGTTCACCAGGAAGGTTCTCCATGTGTAGAATGGAGTTTTTGGTTGAAAAGCGAGGAGACCACGTAAAAGCCAACAGTCCAGTAGGCATTCACCCTGCCTCACAGCAGGGCACTGAAATGGATGTCCCACGTCCCAGCCCAGTGGACTACAGGCTATTCTGGGGTTTGTTCTTTTTCTTTCTTAATTTTTTTGAGAGGTTTTGGCTTTGGTCCAAATTACAACTTAATAAATCAGCAAAAAACCTTCCTGAAGTCAACCTTTATTTCTGGCCAGCCCTGCTTATAGTTGTCAGGAGAGATTCTTTGGGCAGATGTGATATCTTTTATTAGATCAACTGAATAGTTGGAAAAAAGTTCTTAGCGAGCTTTTGGATGCCGTCGCCCTTCTTTGGGTACAGGGAGTCTTTGCTGGTCGAGAGACTGACTAGCCGAGACTCCCTATGCCTGACGAAGGGCGACAGCACCCGAAAACTTGCTTAGAACTTTTTTCCAACTACTCAGTTGATCTAATAAAAGATATCATCTGCCCAAAGAATCTTGCCTGCCTATGTCCTTAGACCAACACGGCTACAACCAAAAACCCTGCTTATAAGGGAACATTTTGGTTTCCTTCGTAATTTACTGCCATAGAGTCCAGAATTACTGAGGCCTGTTAGTGTAAAACAAGCTGAAAGGAGAAACGTGCACCTGGGACTTTAAATGGTACTTTTTTTCCAAGAAAGGTGGAACCAAAAAAACGAAGTGTGGGTACGGCTGCTTTAGGCTATTGATAAAGCAAATGGGGAAGGAGCCCTTTTCATGACAGTGAAGTGCTGGCTTTTATGGCAGTGATACTGTATGTACTGATCCATAATGAGTAGCAGCTGGCAAGTGGCGATGTATCCTGTTACAGCAGTTCAAGGTTTGGGATCAGCCAGGGACCAGCATGGGAGTCTAGCAACACCACAAACTAATGCCAGAGATCATGTTAAGTACCAGATGCTTGTTCCAAAGCAAGCGCTCCTCACATGCCAAGTGTTCCCGCAGTGATCAGGTGCGTTATCCTACTGTCCCTAAAAGAGATCAGCAATATTGCAAGGAATCTACTAGGGGAACATTGCAGCCAAAACAGATTTTTTTTTCCCCTTAGAGAAACACTACCCACAACTCAGCAATGTCTCATAGCTAGGTGTCACAGTTTGCTTGGGCAACAGCAAAATGATAGCTCCCAATTAACAAATATTTTTTTTAATGGATTAGTTCAGAAAGGCTCATGAAAAATGTGCTTGTTTTCCCTTTTCTGCGTGGAAGCTTTATGGCATTTCAAGGCCTATTACACTGGACAATGATGGGGGGAAAACAGATCTTATGGCAAAATACAGGGGAAAAAACACTACTGGGCAACATTTATAAGCAATCCTCCATTAGAAACTCCCTCCGCCCTGAAATGTCAAGGATGAAAGGATTCAATTTCCATGTTAGTCATAGTCTAGTGGTTCCAATTCTTGCTCCAAGAATGATCTCTGTGGCCTCAGGCACATTACAGACAGTGCCTCAGTTTCTCTTTGCAAAATGGAAAATGTCACCCTCTCAGCAGTGAGGTCAAGATCGATTAGATACATATGCTTTAACCAAGCTCGTTCATTTTCTGGAAAGCGTGTAATACGTCTGAGTTGCTGCCACACACACAGCATTATCAATGACAGACAGGCAACAAAAGTACCTAGTCTGTCCCAGAGAAACTTTGCTTATCTAGTTCTTTGGGCCCAACCTTTTGAGGGTAGGTAAGGTTGTACTTGCAAAAGTACACATGCATCTGTGAAAATATATCGTCAACATGCCCATTCTGCAAATACAGTGAGTAATTTGTCAGTGCATCGCAATTTGGGGTTTTGCCAGTGTGGCTCCATAAGATCCCACTAACAAATGCCAGCAGAAGTTTCTAGTGTAGACTTGCTCTACTTGGATGCTAACTTTGCCAGAGGTGATGGGTTCTTAAATTATCTGGGCTCTTCCTTAGACTTGTTCAGTCTATTGGTTACACCAATCGGGCAGTACAGTATGGGTTTTCTGCTTATATTTTAAAACCTAATACTGGTATTATCGAAACCCGTGCAAAAAGGTCCCTAAGTGATGGTGACTGTGGGAGAAAAGCTCAACGATGGAAATAAAATGCAGTAGAATGCGCAGGGGGATCGAAACTGGGGAACTCACTGTCATTCTCTTATTTCAAGGTATCCTGCCTAAAACCTGAAGAAGCTATTTGCAAAGCTGTAATTCCACGTTGAAGGTGGTGACATGTACACATGCAGAGAAAGGGGACCTTTGATTTGCAAGTATAATGGAATAGACTTTTCTCCAAAGACAATGTGTGAAGAGTACCACCGAGATGCTCCTGGAAGGGAACTTATTGGATCAAAGGCCTACAAAAACATGAAATTGAAAAACCAGAAAACCAGCCCATATGGAGAAAGCTGTACTGTTTCTCCAGGGGATTGTAGCTGATCAGTGCAGAGCCAAACCAGAGGTTTGTAATCCTGCCTGGTTTCCCTCCCCCCACACCCACTCTAGGGAGCTGAGGCCTGTCTGCTCAATGTTTGCTGCTGTCAAGTGTGAAATGAATCTTTAAGTCGCTGAGCAGTAATGCAATCAACTATTTAATTTGTCAAGCTGACTCGTATTAAAGCATATGGATTATATTTCTTCTCTTATTTCCAGGCCCTTGTTGCCAACAGCAGGCTGGAACCTTTCAGTCACAAGCCAAGTTTTAAGAAAAGGAGTTTCCCTGCAGTGATACAAAACATTCACAAGTGACAAAGGTCTGAGAAAAGCTATTAAAAACCCACTCTCTGCAGTTCATAATTCAGAGTGCTCTTCTCTGGTAACTTCCCTTGTGCCTTCAGTATCCATCTTACAGCGACGCAATGGCACGGTGATGACTTGGAGTGCTATTCTAGTACAGGGGCTTCATAAAGTCCTTGTGCACTTTTAAACTTTAATGATTTAGGTTGTAAGTATGATAGAATTAAGATAGTAATAATGAATTTATTATTAAATAAGATGGCACGCCGTGCCACTACGCTCTGAATGTACGACAGTTCCTAAATGATGTTTTCCCAGAGAAGTGGCTAGGCAGAGGTGGACCAATTGCTTGGCCACCTCGTTCACCTGACCAGTTGCTGTTGGACTTCTTTTTATGTAGCGTACTTGTCAAAACCATGTTCTTTGGTGAAACTTAGGGCTAGGATCACCGACGCAATTAGTGTAGTAACTCGAAAGCAACTGGGAAATGTTTTCAAGGAGTTGGAAGATCGGATTGAGCACTGTATCATGATGGATGGTGGTTATGTTGAAGTCTAGCATTGTGTACTCTAGTTGTACTAAAACTTTAATAAATTTGCTTTTAAATACCATTTACAGATTGTTTCCATCATACCTATAACCCAAGTTACTAAAGTTTAAAAGTGCACAAGGACTTTATGAAGCCCCTGTATTATAAAAGCCTGTGTGTGTCTGTCTAATGCTTTATTCGCACTCTGATTGGCTGATGGAAACAACCAGAGTATGAATACAGCGTTTGGACAGGAAGTGGCAACGTGGTGGAGCGCTGCCATGATGGTGGGGACACGGGATGGTGGTGGTGGCAGCGCTGGTGGGAAGAGGGCCTGGCCCCAAAGGGGGCGGGGGGCAGACACAGGCCTCTGTCCCCACCTGCACCCCCTGCCCATCATTCTTGATGGGCACTTGGCTTGTGCATTCATATTCTCCACGCGGCCCCAGGATCTGGAGCTCTACTTTGCTGCAATGAAATCTGCAATCTTGCGAGGCGGTAGTGGTTTGGCTGTGATACCACTTGCATGCTAAGAGTAGAACAAGTCTATGCCACTACTACAGTGGTCTTAAGGGGTTGGTGGTGAATTTGCATCCTTGCAAGAGTGAGAGAAGGGACCTCATTTAGGTAATAAGCTAGTAAAGGGTTGTTAGAACAGCAAGCTACCAGAGGTGAATCTCTCAACACCCTTCACTGTTTCGGGAAACTGGTTCTCAAAGCACTTCAGCTTCGCTGTGAGCTTGTTGTCTCCACGTAGTAGAGATGGCCTATACCTCCAAGTCCCCTACTTCTGGTACAAGTGAGTAGCACTGACATGGGGACATGGTAAAGAGCCTAATGGAGCTGAAGGTATGGATGAACAGACCTTCCTCTTAGAAGTGAAGGGGTTCTGAGTTGACAGGATCTAATCCCTCTGTGGAGGTTATATTTTAGGCTTGTTGTGTGGATTTAAAACTGGATTTGTGTCCTTTAAAACAGCACAAGTGGCTGTTGCTTGTGTATCTGCCAGCAGCAGAACGTTTGGCATGTGACAGGATTTGAGACAACCTTGGCCTGTTAATGGAAGATGCAGTTTATTCCTTAACTCCTACATCGAAGAGGTATAATGCAGGACCATCCTGCTGGTCTAGCTGGATGCATTGTGCCAGTTTCAGAACACGAATGCCCATCTCGGGCCACACGTTTGCTAGGCTGAAGTGCCAGCATCCGGCACTTTTCCAAAACGATCTTCCTTTTGCAGTTGCTGTGCAAAAGATCATGTCATCGAGGGAAACTGAAAAGGTATAGGGAAAAGTAGAACTGACCAGAGCTGAGGTGCAATATTTGCCTTTGTACCCACACTGGCCCAGTGTCTACGTCAGGGCGGGCAAAGTCTGGCCTCCAGGCCAGATGTGGCTCACACCAGACTCCACTTCCCAGCAGCCCCTGCCTACATCACTATGGCCAATTTCCATGGAGACCACAGGAGAGGCAGGGCCAGGGTTTCCATGGAGACCTGCCCAAGCAGTGCTGGCAGGGCATGCAACTGGGCAGGGGAGCTGCTCTGGGATTGGGGCTGGGATTTTGTGGCAGTGACACACTGGTCCAGAGCCAGGTCAAAGCCATGATCTGCTGCCTGCATGCCCCTGCCCTGGGTATGCAGGCAGTGGACCCCTGGCTCTGCCCCAGCTCTGGACCACGCTGTTACTGCTGCAAAATCCTGGCTGCAGCCCCAGAGCAGCTGTGCCCCTGCTTGGATGGGCAAAATCTAGACCCCTGGTCTAAGTCAACACTGAACGCACCACTTGAAGCTATAGAGTGAATGCATAAGCAGCGCACAGATCTTGTGCTGGACTATTTTGAAAAAGCAGCTTTCATTCAAAGGAGTATGCAGGAAAGTGGAAGCAAGCACTATACTTGTCAAGTGCTGAGTGTCATGGGGCTAGGGTGGCCATTCATCTGGTTTTATAGAGGACAGTCTGGTTTTCTGGTTGTCTGTCCTCTATTGATGTGAAACCAGACGCCTTTATGTCCTCTATTTTTTACCACTCTGCACTCACACTGCCGCAGCTGCCTGCGGGAGCCCCCCCGCTCATCACCGCCTGCGGGAGCTTACCATGCCCCACACCGCCCCAGCCTCAGGAGGCATGCGATGGTCATGGTGCATTAAATACAACTGTCCTCTCTTCTTGAGGTACCTCAATGGCTACCCTACACGGGGCACCCAATCCAAAAGATTATAGTAACTAGCAATCCTGGGTGCCCAGTTGGCAAGCTGAAGAAGGGGAGGTTTGTATGTACTGTAAAACCCTGCAAGGCACCGAGATCAGTAGTCCCTTTTAACAATGTTAGTCTTTGCTGTCAGAAAACAGTTGGCTTGATGCTTGTTTTGTTCTGATCAACTAGCTAGAGCAGGGTTTGTCAACCAGGCATAGGTGTACCTCTTGGGGGTACTTGGGAAGGCCCTAAGGGGTATGTGTGGGTGGCAGGGGGCAGAGCGCCACCACCTCCCAGGAGCAGGGCCAGGGTGGGGTGAGGGCAGCATGCGAGCTTTCCCACCCCACAGAGGGGTGCCGCTGCCCTTGCCCCGCCCCCGGTCCTGGGAGGTGGCAGAGGTCTGTTGCCACCCACCCACTTGCTGTCCCCACCTCCCAGCTCCACGTTCAGCTGTACGGAATACATCCCCAGCCGCTGGGAGTACACTTATTAAAAAAGGTTGAAAACTCCTGAGCTAGAGGAAGACATTGAGCTGCTTAGAGCTAGGTTGTAGTTAGGTCCAGGAAATACATACGCAAGCCCTTGTTTCTTGCATGGAGAAATACTTTACAGCAGTAAAAGGTGCCTGGCGCACAGCAACATACCATTAATCCAGTACAAACTTTTGAGTACATTTTAGGTATGTGAAAAGCTGAAGCAATATATTTATTGTGCATTGCTAAGCAGGGAGGTGGATAAATCAATACTTTTTGCTGCCTATATGGAAAAAGAGGCTTCTGTTGCCAAGCTAGGAGCTCAGAGGTGTAGAACGGAAGTTACATATTTTCCTGGTTAAAGCCAAAGCAGTGGATTCTATCGCACCATCTGCTCCATGCAGACCAAAGGCAAATTCCCACCATCCTGCGGGCTATAGTCATTCTCTAAAGAGGGGTAAATTCTGCCTAACTTAAGTGTACATGGGGCACTTTTCACTCTGTGATCTCACTGCCTTGGAAAGAAGTTCAGGACATATTACTGGAACTATTGAAACTCAAGACTCATTTTTAAGTGTTGTCATTCCCACCCTGTGCATCTCTATCACTTGTGAGCATTAAAGTATCTAGGTGTGCAGGGAGTTTTGGCCATGTGCAGTCTCAGCTAACAAGTAGAAGTAGTACATAGCCTATCTTCCAGTTGGGAAGAGATGACATAATGCTGTAAGTGGAAGCAAGTTCATCCTCACCTCCTTCTGCCTTGCTTGCAATGGGAAGGCATCCTGGTAAGCCACTGCCATTCTTCAATTTGAGTGTGCTGCATTAGCAGAGTCTGTGTCAACATTGTTATATGCCAGGGTGCACTGCAGCCTGAAGGTGGGAGGGAAATGAAGAGACACAAGCCACCAAACTGAAAAAGCTGAGGCAATGACCAGAAAGCTGCAGTCCTGGAAACACTGAAAAGGATGGGCTGCTGTTCCACTGAAGAATACGAGTGATGACGAGCTTGTCAAGGGCAGGGAGGAGTGAGTGACTTGCAAGTGCCAGAGGGGCTTCCCACCATGATCAGCCCTTGTTGCAAGGCTGGGGGGAGGCTATATTTCAACAGCTGTGCTTATTACTAGAAAGCGAGGGTGCTTGCGTCCAAAGGAATAGCGGTGAGGGGCTGGCTGGCCTAGGTGGACAGAGGATTCATAAGTGCTTCACCTTTTTGTTTATGAGCTTGTCGTGTGAATACAGCCAGCACTTTGAAATCAAGACTGATGCTGCACTTCTACAGGACCCAGCAGAATGCTCCCCTGATCCCACGTGAATTGTACATAAATGACTTATTCCAGTCAGTCATACACTGAAGGCAACCAGGAATACTAACCAATCATGTACACTTGGGTAGACATGTAATGATAATGGAACAATAAAATTTTCTGAGTTTCTCTCCCCTGCCTGTAGTACTGTCTCCCTTTGCCTTGCCCTCCCTTGTCCAGGCAAAATGAACATACTCTTTGGCTATTGATAGCCTCATCCACAGCATCCTTAGTCTTGGCTCTCTCTTCCACCATCTAACAACACTATTGTTCCACCCTGATAGCAGGGAACAAACTAGTTTGTCCCCTCATTTGGCCTATTGCCCCCTGAACTGTTTCCACCTGTGTCCAAGATGCAAGTCTTCTCCAACTGAAAAGCCCCTGGTAGTAGTGCTGCATCCACCATGTCTATTTGCATTTCCCTGATCATTGAGGAAATGCAATTTGTGGCCAAGTCAGGCAAGGCAATTTCCCCTCCCCTCTCCCTACAAGTGAAGGGTGATGTAATTAATAGCATCCAATTAGTCTGGCCTCCTGCAAGTTCTAAATTTTAAGGTAAAAGGGTCATCTTAATTATATGAGTGGCTCCACTTCCAGATGCATTCACCTGCAGGTGACACTGGAATTCACTCTGTATTTCATATACTGTATGCTTAACTCTTACAACAGCAGCTCTGTCTGAAGCGCTGGCTAACTACTTTCAAATTGAAACGAGGATGGGAAAATGGCTATCCTAGCTCTGTAGTGAATTCTTACTACAGGCAAGAGAAGAGGTGCTTCTCCATTCTACTGATCAAACGTAAGCCTGGCCTGTAACAACCAAAGGCAGTGATCAAATCTATAACCCGGTGTCACTTAACCACCAAAGCATGTCCATGTCACAAGCTGTATTTTCACTCTCAAAATGGAAAAGCGGAGGTAAATATTGCTGGCAGCATGCACGCGTTCACTATGTTATAGACATTACCTACTGAGCCACAACATAGTGACAGCATTGATGCCAGAACTTAATCAATAGGCCTCGGTCATCTTAAAAACCACATCTATGCCAAAGCAGAGAACTCATGTTACACAACCCTCTCCTTTCTTGGCCTCAGTGGGACATTCGGGCATGGATGCTGAGAGACGTGTAGATGTGTGAGACGTGAGACCTGTCTTGGAGGAAAGAGGCTGAGACCATCCCACTGTAAAGGTCACTTTACAGCCATTGGCCCTTAACACCAGGCCATTGCAGCCTTACACCCTTCCAAACAGGGAAGCTAGGAAGAAGCTTGAACTCTACATTTGGACTGTCTAGTCCTACTCTTCACCTCTGTTATACAACAGGGAACAGTTCCAAGAGGTTTTAATTTTTTTATTTAGCCTACAAAAAGGACCAGACACCTTAAAAAGAAGGTTGGCTCTCACTTTCAGGTTCAGCAAAAGGAATAGATTCCCCTCATTCTGTGCTGGCAGTGTATATGTGGTGCCAGCCTGCTGGCAGCTGCACACCTTGCATGCCACAACCTGGTAATGTACCTCCAGTCCATGGAAATCCTCTAACTGGCTTCCGGAGCAGCCGTCTTCTGACAGAGCCTGCCAAGCAGCCCAGCCATCTGCAGGAGGGAGTTCACCCCTTCCATGATCTTCATGTGAGTATATCCAATTTCCTGATGAGAAAAATACAGCCAGGGCACATCAGGCCTGGAAATTTTCTGCTCTTTCAGCAAAGGAGATAAGATTTAGGAAAGACTTTGGCTTATCCTTTGTTTCCCTAGTAGCAAGATTGTCTCATCCACCTTCACCTGCTCTAGTCCATGCTTACAGAGGTCCCTGGTATTAAATATATAGTTAGCCTAAAGCATACCTCACTCTTCAGGTCCAAAAGGCTGGCCCCAAGCTACCTGAGCTTAGACACAATTTGTGTTTCAATGTTTGTGGGGCTAAACCAGGCTGACCATTCCAAAGCAAGAGCATCTGAATATAGACCAGGTCAATATTGTTCTCCAACACCAGCACATGTCTCCTATTTATCTTTAAGGGAGCAACATCCATCCAAGGGCAGGATTTAACCTTAAAAGACATGCTGAAGTGCAAACTCTTACCTCTCCCTTTGGATCCCAATGCCATATAATTCTTGGTAACTGCAGCCTGAACTTTCTGGGCTTACTGCAAAAGCCACCTGAACTCCCTTTTGTGAGAGGGAAACGTGGAGTATTCTAAGACAAGGGTTTGAAATGGCTGTTGGGAGCTGAAGGGGGTGAATCTTTGATTCAGTGGTTGACTTAAATTATTAAACTGGTAACTTAGTTGAATACATTTCTAGGACACCCCAAGCTGCTGGAATTGGGTGTGTGCTTAACTTTCAAGTCACCATTCTTAAAACAGACTAGGAGGCACCTGGCACAGAAGTCTATGGTAGGTGAAAAGAAGCTAACAGCAAGCCTTTGCACTCAGATCCATCCAGCAAGTCTCAGAACAGACCGTGGGGCTGCCCCTTCACTGGGAATTGCATCCTTTTTTGTTAAAAATATTCCCATGATTTGATGTGATACCTGGTTTAGCACTAACCTTGATGAACTCCAGTTTCAGATACTCAGGCATTTGGAAGGTTTTGCACACTCTGAAGACGTTGCCAATGATATCCTCTGGCGAGTATCCAAGCCTCCACAAATGGGCAAGAATCTGGGTAGGGGGGGAGAATAAGTCTGATTTACTCTCCATAAGGTCATATAGGAACTGGTATTCACGTTCAAGTTTCTCACCTGGTGAGACTGCACCTAGGATGCCTATACACGTGCTCCGACACGTTCTAATTAGAACATGCTGGAGCAGACTTGATTCATCATGTCTGCTGGAGCATCGGCGTGCTGCAGTGTCATGTGTATTCAGCGTCCTTTCCCATGTTTCAAAACGCCGGCAGGGAGTGCTTTAACTAAAACTTGTCAAGTGAGCTTTAGTTAGTGCCCCGCAGTCATTTTGAAATGCGGGACTCTGAATACATATGACGTTTTGGCATTTTAATTAGAGATGCTGTCCAGGAGCCGTTCTAATTAAAAAGCACCCCTTCCATCCCCACCCACCCCATAGCATGTGTATAGGCATCCCCAATGTTTTAGCAAGTGGTTGAACCTTGGTCCTGTTCTAACAAACAGGTTCCAAAATGATACGACTCATTAGTTTTGCTCATTCCAGCACCTTTTCCCCCTTAGAACATTACACTGATCAAAGGCAGGCAGACTACTCTTTTGCAGTCAGCATCAACATTCCCAATTGCCAACTAAAAGCAAATTTCATTTCTGTATTGAGCTACTTTCACCCAGACCATTAAGACTAACAAGAAACGAGCTTAATGTTCAGAGATGGGGGAGCAAACATTTTGCTCCTGTTACCCAGAGTTGCTACACCTGCCATCTTGTGGTAAGCAGTCTATGCTGAAAGCCCTCCTGTTCACAGGCACACTTCAGAGGGTTGTTAAAATAATGTGGGGGGTGGTGCTGGGCTGTGCCACTGGCTAGTTACAAACAGACGTGGCATTTAGACCACTCATACCATGAAGGCAGTATGCTAATAACTGTTTTGCAGCACATTTTCAAAGTTGGCAACACAAGATTGTGTCAATAGATTTAAGTGGTGTTACAACTATTTGGGTCGCAATTTGTGGTGCTGTATTCAGTTTAACATTTAGGGCATTTGTACACATGCTTGTGCTGCAGCACTGGGTGCTTTGGTACACGCAGTTGTACAAGTGGCAAAAATGTGTGTTAGCGCTGAGAAAACGGCGGTGGGGCACTTTTGAACTGAGACACATCGGAGGAGTTTTAGTTCAAAAGCACATCACCGCCACTTTCCACACTGACACGCGTTTTGCCGCTTATACAACTGCATGTGACACAGCGCAGTGTGCGTCAGCTCGCGTGTGGAGCAGACTATTAATCGAGTCTGCTCCAACCTGCTGGATGTCTGGTGCATCGCGGGACAAAAACGTATATGTATAAACGCCCTTAGATCCAGTTGGTAGCAGGGATGCCTTTCAGCATAGAAGTCTGGACAGTACCTGCATCCCTGTGTATTAAGCTTACTTGCATAAAAACATTTCAATATGAGGCTTTTTACCTTGGTCTTGGATAAGCAGCAAAGCAAAGTGGAAGTTTTACACAAACAAAAAAACAACCAACCAACCATGCTGT